GCAGCTTGGTAGAACTTTGTTGCCAAACACGTCACCCCCAACACAGGATGATTCACTGAGGAGAGGTCCCTAATGAAAAACACATCCGCCTGCAACTGCTCAGCAAACTGGCCAACGAACTCAGGAACCGCAGCAGGGCGAGGCTTCAGAGGTGCCCGTGCCCTTTCACAAGTGCCGCACTTCAAGTGTTCCAGCGCAGTGAGGACAGCAGCGTTTATTGACCCGTGGGCGGCCAACAGCCTGATCAGCTCTTGCTTCGGCGGGTGACCGGCATTACAATGCAACCGAGCCACTGCTGCTTTCACCTCTTTGGTGATGGTCTCCGGAATTCCAGGAAAGCTGATGTCAGTGCGAAGCCCGGGTACATGTACATCAGGGATGTTGCCGTCCTTCTCGGTGGGCTTGTCGTCCTCGGCCATGCCATAGAACAGCACGGCAATCCGCACGGGGGTATCGAATTTCAGCTTTGGCTGCCGCACTTCACCCATGTCTTCGCTCTCGACGTGGAGCTTGCCCGTGTTGAGGATCAGAGCTGCCCCTCTATGGGTAAAGGGGATATCGCTTGGAAGTCTGCGGGTCATGGGTTGTGCACAAACCTGAGCACGGGTGATCTCCCATGGCACCAGCTGCTTCAGCTGCTTCATCTCTTTAGAACCTTCAGAGAGGTAGAAGTAGCGGCTCCGCCCCAGTCGTTTTTCCAAGGACTCAATGAAGGACATCCACGCCTCAGGTTCATCCAAGGGTGGAGCATACCACACATTGTGTGGTTCAACATCAAACCTCCATGGACACTTCATGCGGGCTTCGCCTTGGATCGAGGCTAAGACCGCATCAGCAACGTCATGTGTCCCAGGTGCCTTCTTGGATGCACGTGCAAGGCACTTGCTGTTCGTCACGAACGTGTGCGCCATGCCCTGCGGGTCGTCCTTAAAGATCACCTCCTTGGTTTCGGGCATGTTGCTGATGGTCGCCATGATGCCGTAGGGGTCCTCGTGGGTGTTCATGTCGAAGTCGATGATGAAGCTTGCTCCTGAATTCACCTGGTGTTCGCAACATTTGAGGATGGTCTCGCTGAGGATGTTGCCGTATCTCCAAAGTCGTTGCATGTTGTGCACGAAGATGACCTGTGGCTTGGCTCTGAGGAGAGCCTCATAGATGTCACGTGGTTGTTTGCCCATGTCAAGATTGCCAAAGTCCACAAAGGAGAGGCCGTAGTGGTTGGCACGTTGGGCCAAACTGCACTCCAGCCCCGGCTTCTTGAACTTATGGTGCCAAAACAGCTCCATGAAGTCGGCTTCGAATTTGTTGTTGGGCTCCTGGGCGTGGTCCTCGTACACGTTGATCTCGCGGTTCAGCAGCTGGATGGTCTTCTCAATGTTGTTGATCATGCGCTTTTGCGTGCCCTTCTTGATCCCAGCCTGCTGCTGCGAGCTCACAGCTCGCTCCAATCGAAGTCCTCGTCCTCCTCGTCCTCGGTCAAGGGGAACGTCTCGGTTTCCATCGCCGGTGTCCCATGGTACCCTGACACCGAAGTTGCTGAAGTCGGACGAGGTCGCGTCTTCGCCGCTGATCCCGGTGGCGCCGTTGAAGAGGATGCTGTTGCTGGGGTCCACGAGCCGTCCACCACACTCTGGGCCGACGGCAAGGGCAGCACACAGGACTTGGAAGACGGATGAAAGCGCCACCCAGGGGTTGGTCCATCGTCTTCCCACTTCCAGCGGGCGAGGCATGTGTTGCATGTTGCGAACCGCCCCTGGGCGTTGCCGTGCCTCTTCATTGACTGATGTGCGCAATTCTGAGGGGGCACCTGCATCTGTGGCTTCTTTTTCGGCTTTGAGCGGCTCGCCTTTGCGTCCTGGATTGTGTTCACGACCGTGGCCCTTTCCCCCAGCTTGCATGCCCGATGTGACAGTGCCACAGCAAGGGCCAATGTCCGCCTGACGGCCCGGATCATCCTTCTCCAGTTGCTCAACCATACTGGAGGAGTTGCCAGCATCACTAACAAAACTCATCAACACTTGATCTCGAGACGAACTCTCTTGCATGACCCCGACTTGCTGCATGATCTGTGTGCTGCACAGGAACTCGCAATCATGGTAATCCAGCTCACTCCAATCAAACTGCGGGGCACTTGCGGGAAACTCGGAAATCTTTAAGCACAGATGGCCTTGAAGGAGGTGCAGGTCGACTGTGCAATCGAGCAGCCCGATGTAGGCCTTTTGGCGAGCCAAATCCAACACAACTCTCATCTTCTTAAGCACGGCGAGGCTTGCGAGAAAAGGGATTGATATGTTGTCGAGAATCGATGCACTCATGGCTAGCATAGGTTGGCTCACGTCGAAACCCACAGGAAAGTACATGCAGGAGTCCGACCGCTGCGGCGGCCCCGCGCCGAACTGGAATGCCTCAAGGCGCCGGGCGCACTTTGCGCTCAACCCGAAGCTTTTGAGCAGCTCCACATGTGAATCACACCATTGCCGACTACTGCACGATCTCTGGCACGCTGTATCCACAACACAGTAGCCCTGCAGTTCACTGAGATTGGTTAGGCAGGTGCACTCAGCTGACTGGAAAACCACCAATGTCCTGTGCACCTGGCCCGCTGGATCTCGTAGGCCTTGCGAGGGGTCACCGGCTTCAAACTCAGAGAAATCATAGAGCACTTCGTGACCACCGGCATGTCGCACCGAGAAAACTTTTTGTGCAGCTGCTCTCTTGTCGCCGCCGTCTGTGGAAGCTGGGTGCTTCCCTTTGCCGCTGGCTTTGCCTTTGGCGCTCGCGCTGCATTCTGGATCTCCTGCCCAGTGTCCCACCTGTCCGCAAGCCGAACAGGCTGAGGTTTTCTTTCGTTCCTCAATGGATTTCCTCGGGGCACCACGATACTTTCGACCTTGTGTCATCGCCTGAAGCTTGCGGCTGGTCACGGTGAGCACTTCCATCAATGACTCCACCGTCTCGTCGTCGATGGCCTCCTCGTCGCCGTTGTCTGGTATCAGCTCCTCCTCGTCATAGGCCTCCTCTGCTTCGCCGTTGTCATCCTCGGGAATGGCATCAAGCTGCTGGCCTTGATCGTCCTCGTTGTGCTGGTCGTTCACATCGGCAACGTAGGCCTTACGATAAGGGTTGCCGTTGCCACTCGAAGTCGCCGTTGTCGGGGAAGAAGAAGAGCCTTGGCCGCCGCCTTTCCCGTAGAACTTGCCTTTGCCGTTTCCCTTCGGTGGCCTTGAGCCTCCGCTCTGGCCTTGGTCACGGTAGCCCTGGCCCTGAAGGAACGGTGGCGGCTTGTGGTCGGGATACTGCAGGACGAGGGCATTCTTAACATCATCGAAGCTCAGGCTCTGACTCGTGCCCACGAGCACCATCCTTTGCTGCTCGGTGGACAACTTGGCCCGATCAAGTAGCCTCGATCCCCTGCTCTCGGCGTCGTAGGTCAGACCGACATCTATTCCAATGCTGAGAAGAGCTTTTTCCGCCCGATGGTATCGGTTGACATAGTTCCGAAGCGACTCCCCAGGAAACCGGCCAATAGTTTCATAGTCCGAAAGATACTTCCTCTTAAGGTAAATCTGCTTGGCTTGAAGTGGTCCCCTGAGCTGTTCCATCAAGAAGCTGATGCCGTCCTTAGCATAGATCTTGTTGATGTCGATGTGTTCCAGCTCCTCTTCGGGTTCACCGGAGAGGCTGCAGTACAAAGTCAAAGCTGCCTCTGCTTCACTCATGTACGGCTTGATTTGCAATTGCCAGATGCCCACACGACGCTCGAACTTGCTGAAGGCCCGCAAGTCGTCTTTGCTGTAATGCCACTTAGGAGGGGCAGGAGGCGTGCCTCCCCTCCATCGTACGCCCTTCTCAGGGCCAAGGCCGCTTGCCCACGACCCGGGGTCCGAGCCGTTCTTGCCCTTGAGAAGCTTCCTGAGATCGCGTATTGTTGTGGAGTCCGGTTCGGGCTCACTTCTTGCAGTGGGGCGATCGCCTTTCCCAAGTCGTTCCGCTCGCCTCTGTCTTCGGTTCGGCCTTTGTTGCCGGCCGCCTTGGTCGCTCAAGCCGTTCTCGCTCGGAGTCACTGTCGGGTCCAAGGTTGGAGCTTCACTCTCCGCCGTCTCACCTAGCTGGCGATCAGGAGGCTCTGGCCCTGGTCGATGTCGAACTCCTCTCTGTGCTCGTGGCCTTGCCCAAGTAGAAGCGGAGGATGCGGAAGACCTCGGAGAGGAACCTGAAGAAGAAGGCGAGGCATGTGGTATGTACGTCCACACGCCCTGTGAGGTCTCTTCTGTGGTTGGCTGCGAGGCATCATACAGCTGACTAGAGCCGCACTGTCCACAGAACCAACTGTCCCTCATTCTATCCCATCTGCAATCGCTGCTCTGACACACCCGACACGTCCAAAGCTCCTGGTAGCTGTCTGCTCTTGCGTCCCTCTGAGGAAACTCGGGAAAAGAAGGAACTTGTGGAAACCAGGCACTCGTTGCAGCCTGTTGTCCTCGGAGTCCATCTTCCAAGCCTAGCCCTGGAGGGCCTCTCGGCCGAAAGAGCCCATTGTTCGCATTGGCAGGAAGGTCTCCGGCATCTGTCCCGGCACGTCGGTCCTGGATAAACTCCAGAAGGTTCGGGACATCCTCGTGAGGCGGGGGCGCAAGCGAAGGAGTCGGAATCATCGCGCGCCGATGGCAGTCAAAGCAGGCCCTGGATCAGAAGCTCCGCTGCCAACTTATGGCAACGAAAGATCTGCAGAT